CATAATTATTAAAAATTATTTATCAGCATCTCAGCTATATTATAGTGAGATGCTGACATTTAGGGGTGAGTTCCAGCCTCCCTCGCGGGTGAAATCCACAGTTCTGATTAGCCTGCATATCCTCATAGTATGGCTGAGATGCTGATAAATATGATAAAACTGTTTCCCACGTGGTTTAATCGCTAGAACTATTGAGATAACTTTCCTAGGGAATAGAACTCTGCAGGATTTCCTTCCTCTATGCTCATATATGTGAAATTCGATGAGATGCTGACAAGCGGTACGAGAAGTTAGCATCTCATTTCTTAAAAACGTGGTTTTAGGGGATTTATAGTGAGATGCTGACATTTAGGGGTGAGTTCCAGCCTCCCTGCCGGGTGAAATCCACAGTTCTGATTAGCCTGCATCTCACTATAGTATGGCTGAGATGCTGATAAATAATTTTTAATAATTGTTTAGAGATGATGAGAGGCCAGAACTCTTTCCGAGGATATGCAGGCTAATCAGAACTGTGGATTTCACCCGGCAGGGAGGCTGGAACTCACCCCTAAATGTCAGCATCTCACTATAGTATGGCTGAGATGCTGATAAATATGATAAAACTGTTTCCCACGTGGTTTAATCGCTAGAACTATTGAGATAACTTTCCTAGGGAATAGAACTCTGCAGGATTTTCTTCCTCTATGCTCATATATATGTGAAATTCGATGAGATGCTGACAAGCGGTACGAGAAGTTAGCATCTCATTTCTTAAAAACGTGGTTTTAGGGGATAAATTAATTGAACTATTGTTAAAACTTATCAAGAACTGTGGAACTATGATGGATGCAAGTAAACATGAAGTTTATTTGTGAGATGCTAATAATTGAGATGCTAGGTTCACACAGGTGCAGTCCGGTACATTCGATTGTATGCCACAGATTCCTTACAATAATAATAATAATTTTTACAAAAATTGTATTCAACAAAATGAGATCCTCTCTCTTCCTTTAACGTTTTCTTCTCACTGAATAATCACTTTCTAAGTTACTCTGAACATCACTTACAATTTAGATACCTCATTGCCATCGTCCATCCTATCTTTCCTCTCTTTTTTTTTCTATATTATCTCTGTCAAAAACATTCTTGCTCCATCGACTGTCCACAAGGTCAATTAAGTTGGTATTCATGGTCAGTATGTATTTCATCTTAAGCATGATCTTCAGATGTCTTCTGGCGTGTATTGATATTTTTTTTTCATTAAAAATACAATTTCACCAAAGATAAAAGAAAGAAAGTGAACATTTACCTAGAGAAGCCTGAGGCTATCGAATCAAGAGTCGCAGATGAAAAGCAAGTCCCGTTCTCGACCTACTTACCTACATCCAATGACCAGCCATCCTGAGTAAGAAATTTCTTCTCTTTCTTCACTATCATCTACCAGAACATCATTGAGGTCATTTCTTGAACGGTACACGTCTCTGGGAAGAAATCCATATCATCAGAAACTCATAACAAGTATTGATTAGACTAAACTCTTAAACGATTCTCCTTTATCACGTATCGTAATTAAACTGATTAATCATTTTTCAGATTATTCGAAAATGATACACGCAACGCGAATAAGCATATTGACCTATCAAGAGTAATGTTAACTAAGATTCTTGATATAATCTGTACATCATTATACCGTGGAAATCATAGCGGTAATCAATTTACCTCGTTTCCCTATTTCTTTTTCTTTACACGATTCGGATACTCATGGATGGATAATGACGAATTAATATATTCTTATCTCTTATATGACATTGGATTTTGACCTTTTTATTGATTGGCAAAACATATGATTAATTTTTCCACTTTTTTCTATGCATCAACTGAAATCATTGCTGTTCTGTCTTTTTTTTCCTCTTCGCTGTCCACCTCGCTCGCTTTATCTTCTCTCGCTTGGGCCACGTCACAGAATTACTAGTTTGCTATAGACAAACTTACAGTCGAGCAGTTTTAGTCGTCGATCGTGTCAAAGAGTAAAAAGAGCACTGGCCTACTTATGGCCAGAGAAATCCAATAGCATCATGACCTTGATAAAGACCATCAAGAAGCAGCAAGATGTTCATAACTATGGATACGTTGCGAACTGTGTAAAAAAATGCAAGGAAACAACTTTTAGATATAAAATATTACTATTGAGAGCTATTAGTTATCGCCATAATGTTTATCAGCAAGGATAACTAATATATTAATAATTATAATAATTTATAATTAGTAATTTATAATTTAATTTTAATAATTATAATTTTTAATTAGTAATTTATAATAGTAATTTATAATTTTAATAATAATTTATATTTAAGAATCTAAAGACATCAAAGTTGTCAATATCTAATTGTACCTTTATGACTGATATTTCCTATACGACTGGACTCTGTATAAATGAAACTTTTTACTTTCAGACAAAGCATGAGGAATCTGAGGATCTTGCGGATTCGCCAATACATGGCAAAGTGACGCCGGAGGATGAGGAACAAATGCGACAGTTACTTCCTTTCGAAAAGGCACCGGTGTATCTACAATTCAATCCCTTTATTCTACATGGATATAGGGGATATCTAACCACTAAATTATGTTTAGAAAGGTCTGTTTATTTAAGAAAAAAAAATAATACTTATCAATACCTTGAATTTGCTCGGACTTATTGTACTGCAAAATTCAGTGACGAGTGTTACTGCATATTTTATGTTTTTATTTTTCTTATCAAGAAAGAAACAGTCTTACGTTTCTCAACACGTGTCGTTTGCTTGCAGCATATTCTGGTGGACGAATGAAACTATAAACATATGGAGTCACATATTTGGATGGATGCTCTTCCTGGGACTCACGTTGTACGATCTCTGTTTGTTAAACATTCACGCACCTTTTGGCGATAAGCTCATCGTTGCGCTGCTGCTTATTTGTTTTCAGGTAAAACGTCACACATGTACCCAATTCCGTCTTGGTAAATATAAGGGATTAATACACGAATCAAGTATTAGTCAGTGCTATTAGATTAGATTAGATTCAAGTGCGTCCACAGGGTTTCCAGTTTTTTTTTTAATACCAAATTTTGAATAGCTTCGACAATAAGATATCCAATCTGCTTACTTGTGTAACGATAAATAACAGTAGAGGCATCGTGAGTCAACACAGAAGATAGAAAGAGAATTTTAGAGAAAAAAAACATGTTGAGCTCTTGATCAGTTTTTGTTTCTTATTCTAGGCATGCATGATCCTATCTTCTATGTACCACACGTTCTCGTGTCGCAGTGAAAAGGATTACTGGTGCTTTTTGTCCTTCGACCTTTTTGGCATCGCACTCAGTCTCTTGGCAATTTATATGTCGGGTGTTTACTATGCCTTCTGGTGTCACAAAGTGAGTGTCGGTATGTGATATGAATGAGTGGAGATTATTTTTAACAAATTTATTTAATGCACTTTTGTCAAAATTTTTATAGGATTTACAACAGTTCTATCTGATAACTGTACTGCTGATATTTGTCGTAGCTATGCTATTGCAAGTACCAAGGTTCAATGTCAATGGTAATGTTAAATTAATTGTATTTGTCGCCTGGGCGGCCTATGGGGTATTGCCAACGTTACATTGGAGCATCGCCATGGGCGGTATGGAAAATCCTATGGTCAGGATGCTGTTGCCGAGGGTGCTCGGCATGTACGTCATTAGTGGCGGTGCTTTCCTGATATATTTGAGTAAAGTGCCTGAACGCTTTTTCCCAGGTACGAATAAGTCATATGAATATAGAGTAAATTTTATTGTATTTGTTTAAACAAATTTTTTATTAAAGGTTGGGTCGATTATGTGGGGTCCTCGCATCAATGGTGGCATGCACTTGTTGTCTTAGCTCTTTATTATTGGCACAATACCGGTATGCTCTATGTTGAGTACAGACTGAACCATGGATGTCCTACTAATATGAGATTATGACATGAGGAGTCTGACGACCAATCAGGTAATTTTCATTGAAACGTGAAAATATGAAATTTTGTTCTACACTGTTTTTTCAAGGTTTTTGACTTACCGGCTATTGTTTTAGCTCCATTTTTTGCCATGGAATGTGCCTGTGCGATGGAGTTAGGTATTTGGCCGTCATGGTGGTATCAGGAATTACCATTTTATGCTACGAAGCATATAGCCACGTGTGTAATGGAGAATCCTCTCTGGGTTTATGTGAGGCGGAGAAGATTGTGATACGATGTTGTAGCAATTAGGTCTTATGGGGAAATTTAACGTGGAGGAGTACACGGGTCACTCACCTATATTAAGTGGAACGAATTATTCAGGCTTGCAGTTTTCGAATCTCGATACCTAATCGATAATATACGATTGGTATAATTTTAAAAATTTAATTCTAGTTTTAGAAAATATCGTCTTTCTGCGAAGTGTTTATGACAATTAATGTGCGGGTAATACGTAGGATAATTTTTTTCTTTTGCAAAATCCCTGCATTAAGTGAGCATTGATTGTACATTATCTGCCTTCTTTATTTAATTAGTTTATGAACGGTATTTATTGAAATGTGCAAATTATGTGCAAAAATTAGTGTTTCGAACAATGTGTAATGTTATCGTTGACGGTGTTCAGTAAAATATATATATTTATATAGAAAGAAAATTCGAGGTATCATGAAATCTACTTTACCGATTACTGTTATATTATCAATGGTCATCGTGCTGAAAATAATCCGTGGTAAAATGCTTCAGTCCCTTGAGGAATGTCAGATGGCGACACAATATATCTTTTAGCCACGACGGTTACTACATGTACAATTAACTGCGAAAAAAATACAAGGCCAAAGTCAATGTGCCAGAAATGTCGCTAGTTAATCTATAAAGATACTGCTACCTACAAAAGAAATTGTGGGAAAAAGAATAAAGTGGTCGATAGAACATGGTATTGTATTGAGATTTGCGTATGCGCTCGCATTCATAAATATCAAAAAAATTTTCTAAATTAATCAAAAGTCCCATTTTAATTGGTTAAACTGTGAAACAATTAAAGTTCCAATTCCACAAATTGATTTACTCAGATTCATTCAACTCATATTATTAATTATCAAGTGTTAAGGTACCGTTTATTAACGAGTCTTACGTGCTACAGAAAGATTACAGTTAACTAACTTACAGTTAACGCCATTGCATCAGTGGCAGGTAAACTGAAGCAAACTGGCGCGTGTCTTATAGAAGAGGGTCAAAAGGATTTCAAAAGTGGAGAAGTGGTCGCCTCCCCCTCTGAACACTGTAATAGTATCGCCGCCTCTAATACTCAATGAAACTCATACCTTCCCAGATAATAATCATTCCCATATAAAAGCAAAGATATCAACTAATCCTTTCATCATTGCATTAATAAGCAAGGTAAAAAAGAAATATTAAAATACCTAACATATCATAACGCTAAACCAATTTTTCCCATTGCAAATATCCACCCATTATCATTATAGCACTAACAATAATTAGGCACATCCATTATCGTTCAATAGTAGCATAAAGGATAAACATCTGCTCTCGTAAAGATCCTATTTCCAAGGGTTTGACTATCACTTTCCCAAGGTATAAGACGATGGCGTTTAACGGAGCGGCGATTCTTTATCCGTAAAAGCGAGCAGGGCGGAAGAATTTACGTAGCACTTAATCCCGCCGCTTAGAGGCCTCGGTAATATCACCCTACTTCACATTCTTAGCTACTTCTTCTTCGCCATCTACCGGGAACGTAAAGCACTTACTGGTAACGTTGCTCCAGTCTTCAGGTTCCTCCCTTTTTCTGGGAGCCACTCATCATCCCACGCCTAGTTCTTCGCGTGATTCAAGTAATTTGCTGGAGGAGAGTACATCTTTCTCGATCGAACAGCCTCTTAAGAGTGAGACATTATCGTGGCAAATCTTGTGACTAAACCTATAACGATATTAAGGGATTATTATATCGAGGGATTAGGATAGGGATAGGGATAGGGATCCCATATTAAGGGATTCTTAAAAAAATATGTTAGAATAAAATATGAACACTGATGCAGGCTTAGCTTAAATACTTGGATATGTAGACTAACTGAATTACCTTGTGGTTTTTATTATTATTTCACTGTGAATAGTGGTTGTAATCGATGTCCCTAAGAACATATCCTTTTTTTTTATCTAGTGGTGATCATATTTTGTTGTTTAACACAATATTTGTTAATGATTTTTGTCGTGGTTGCTGACTAAGCTCGAGGTCTTTTCTCGGCGTCACGTTACTCTGACATTCAAAGCAAGAAGATGAACCAGGGTAACTGGACTGACTTGAAATAGATGACATGAAACAAAGGGCAAGGAGATCAGATGAGTCGAGACCGTCGAGACGAAATGCGATCAGATGAGATGAGACGGTAGCGCGTGCGCACAGTAACTCAATAAACATCTGGAGGAGCCTGGGTAATCCCTAGACCGCGCTCTGGATTACCGCTGCTACTTTCCTTTATTTTCCGGATGCGACACCCGTTCCGTCCCTCTTGCCGCTTTTCATCCCACGGCCAGTCCGAGGGTTGGATGGAATTTGTCACCCTCTAGGTAAGAGTTCTACTTCCGTTTCTGGGTCTGCTAGATTCCTTTCAGAAATATTCCTTGAACACATTTTTGTCACGTACATGTGTATCTCCAATAAGAGACTTGATATAGCCTGGCGTCATTTTAAATTAGATAGTATGGAATCCAAACAAATTCTAATCTCTCGTTACACATGTAATCCTATAAAATTTAAAAATTGACTTTAAAAACCTCCAACAAATATTAGTTCCTGCAAACATTTATTCGAGCATCGATACGTCCTAACCTCAACTCACCATTCCGCCGAATTTCACAACAGGCTAATGGACAGTGATGCCAACAATATATCCCAACTCTTGGTATGAAACAACCTGGATTAACATCAGCGAGTAAACATTTGTTCGCGGCCGACTAATATTTGGCAGTGTAGTCGCGCGAGCCGCCATTACGGGATCACGTTGGAATTTTGAGTATGACATCTCGTGCGTGCCCACGAGATATATGAGATAAAAGACAGATTATCTCGGAATGTACTAATAGAAAAGGAAGCAGTGGAAAGACAAGTAAAAGTATCTCTACGAAGGGAATAACAGAGAAAAATAAGACAGAGAGTAACACGTGTATTCAGTAGCTCAGGCGTTCAGGCCAGTTCAGGCCGTACGCTGTAACTTCGCAGTTTACCAGCTCGGTCGGCATTACCGTGCGGTCTGTGAAATGCCAAGTCACAGTGGTGCGCACGGAGCGCCATAGAATTTACCGATAGATCTGACTGACTGGGCGTTTAGACGTCACATTGTGTCGAAGTGCTACGTAAACATACAAGCTGCTCTAATTGAAACGCGAGACAAACGGAATATCACATGTTATTTTATTGTGGCTCTGTATGGCCCCGTCGCTTACGCGACCGGAGACATACATACGTATCGGCCTATCTCCATAATAATCTCATATCGTGTGCGCCCCCTTATCGCCGAGTAAACAACCCTCTCGACGAAACCACGTGCCCGCGTTCTACTCAAGATTTATCTCCTTGTTATATGTGTGTCTTCGGATTCATGCCTAGATGGACCTTGCTCGTATGCTGATCATCGAGATTCTTCCGTGGGTGCCGCTTGAAGGTACCTTCCGGACAGTACCAAGAGACGAGATGCGTAACAGGAAATTGTAGGTAAAGTCGTTGAATTTTATTTGAATAAAATTTTCACTGTTATCTCTAGGATTCTTGGGTAGTAATCGTGATCAGCCGGAGTGACGTGAAATGGAAGGAGAGTGAAGAAAGGAGGAGTAGGAGAAAAAAAATGAGCGAGTAGGATGTCTCGATGGCGAGAGGTGAGCGGGAACCTTTATACCTCGTTACGTTTTAACCCCCGTCGGTGCCTCCCTAACGACAGGCACTCACTCTTTACTTAATTGTGGAAATCCGGGCGAGGCGAAGTACCGTAAGGCAGATGGGGTTGGTCTTCTTGGTACTGCGAGGGAGTCGGATGAGGAGCAGGGAGGCAGGTTGGTTAGCACTCCCCTTTTCACTATTCTAGCTGCTCTGCGTTGAAGCTTCGCATCAGCTACCTTCCCACCTCCCTTGGTACCTCTTGAACCTCTCCCGAAGCCTGAACCCCGAAGCAACCCTTCCCTTTACTCTGCTCTTGGTTTCCGGAGAATTAGACGTAGAACGCGCGCTCTCCTCTCTTATTCTCTTTCAGGCTACTCCGCTTGGCGTTACTCTATGCGGAGCCTCCATTAAATTCATTAGGCCATTAGTGGCTGCAACCCTCCAAGATGGCTCCCGTCGCTTGGCAACCGGGATGGTGGGCGAGCGGGTGGGTCTTGGCGTGTAATTAGATTCAACGAGCGAGAAGGGAACGAGGTAGAAGCTGGAAGGTGGGCTAGGAGGGTAACTTGGTTGAAGGCTGGAGAGGGTCCCTGGGCTCTTACTGGTGATGCTATCCCAACCTACTACGGCCTCATCTAACCATCCAGACATTCCAACGATATACTCGGACAACCAGGCAACTGCGCTATTCCTATATCTAGTAGAGAGTGGATTTCACTATCTTGCCTTTCAGATAACTCTGCATCACTCTTATCCTCTTCGAAATTCCTCAGCTAACCGCAGCAAGGAAGTCGATGTAAACTAATATACATGATCGTATGCTATCTCAGAGGTAATTGGCCTAGACGAGATGGTCACGTCCATAAATTAACCTACCAGTTGCTACTGTAAGTGAAACATTAATGTTACAAAATTTCAATCTCCTCAGTTTTACGTTACTAAGTCCCTGATAGATTCATCCTATTTTCAGGGAAAAACCATGATCCTCCAAGCAAGCCAACTGTCACGAGCATGTAAACGTGGAATTGGTACGGCAAGAAAGGAAAGAACCCAGCACGACGCGTGACACACACGCGTACCAATGCGTGAATACTGTACGGGTGCTTCTTCGGGGGTGGCGCGCCACGAGGATTCTTAAAATATTCCAAGAGCGTCTAAATCAAGGAGGCTTAGGTGCCGTCGTGCGAGCAGGGATTACCTCTACCTTACTTCAAAGCGCCCTGCAGGTGCAGCCTCTCTGTTTTGAGTACTCCTCTCTGACAGAACGTTGAATCATGCGTCAGTTGCCATTGCCAGGCGTTAACGGCATCGTTGCCGTTCAAAAAGAAAAACGGAAAAGACAGTCTGTACGTCTACTTTCAATTTCTTTTCATTTTCATCCAGAATATCAAATAGCTTCGCTACTTGTTTTACTCGTATACCATTAAAACCGCCTGCCGCGTACCAATAATCTCCATAGGGCATAACAAATTGCCAAAACGATTACGAACCGTGCTAATGATAATCGTATGTTTTACAGAGGCCGGAATCGCCAGATCTAAATCGCACATGGTCCGCACGTTGTTTTAAATACGAGAAACGTTACACTACCACGTATTACAATCTGTACACAAAAGCGCGTTACGATTTATATTCATTTGGCTAGAGTGGCCGCAGATAAAGCCCACGTTATTTTCCCTCTGAATCTACACGTACTTTACGGCCATCGCCATATGGCTACCAACACTCCATTTTCACAGTACAAAACATTCCATTATTATCTCCACCTACTCAAATCGATACGACGATTAATACAAAATAGATTTTTCTTTCACAAACGGCAACGTATGCTTAAGGACATAACGTTACGTGGCAAAATCCACCTACTACATTCACCATGTGAAATTCCTTTTTTCAGGATCCCTGCACGTACATACGTAACCTATCTGCTCTACAAATGGCGACTGTGGCTAAATGGCAGGACGTTTACCAGGCGAATCTTCTGCCAGAGAAAAGTTCCGTAAAGAGGCGACCGCGAAATTAAGTGAGTGGCTGGCTGCCTGGCGTCGTCGAAGGAATCTCAAGGAAGTCCTTAGGGAGTTGGTGAGGCAAGAGCTGGAGTAGAAGGAGTAGAGGGAGAGAGATAGAGGAAGGGAAGGGATAGCGATTTCCTGGAATATCCAGCAAACGAACTCGAGCAAGAATTCTCCCAATTCTCCAAGGCAAACCCAAAGGGGCCTAAGCCCTCAATTTCACTAGAGTAAAAGCACAAGCGAGAGCGTGATAAAATGGCTTCTTATTCTCGCGTTTATATTCAATCCCGGACGACTTCGTAGCCACAAAGGGTGGTTGGGAGGGGCTCCATTTGAAACACGTTAGTCGATGCCGTATATATACACGTATACGAGGTTCAGAGAGACAGTGGTACAGGGAACGTGAAATCGCAGTGATGCATTATGTATTACCTTCTCTGATCCTTATATGCATCTATGCATGGGGCTTGATGCATACCAACTTTATGGATGCTGCGAAGGAACACATATGTATAATGCGAAGTGCTAATGCGACTGTCTAACGTATATATTTATATATGATATAATATTGCTGATATTAATTGTATATATTTACATGAGGTGCAGAGACTATTGGATTTCGTACTTGTTTTTCTTAATACACCCTGTATGGTATTGTATTAGCATTGCTGTTGAGATACAACTATTGACAATTATCGCCTACAAAGGTTTCGGTATGGTTGTATTTCGTGTTTGGTATTGGTAGACGATATTTTTAAGATTTATTATGCGAAAATCCAGGGTAAACCGTCGATAACGGGGTTGGCGAATGCTGGACTGTGCGGTGCATAAGGGTGCTTGCCGTGAGAGCCGGTCGTCGGGACGCTTCGTTAACTTCGAACTACTTGGCTCGCGAGAAGTAGGAAAATAGGTAAGAGAAAACAATCCTGTAATAATTAGCTATCTCGAGGAAAGGCGAGTTCAAGAGGATTTCGCGTTTCTGTTTTCTGTCTCTGTACGTGCACCGTGGATGCTGCATAACCCCAGGATGCACTCTGGCTGATTACCATTTGCATAGAGAATCGAGTCGAGCCAATTGGAATAATCAACGTGGCTACGAGCAGAAGTCATACCAGTGTTACATAAAGGGCATATGGAAGCGCGTTATCGGGGCAATACAATTTTGTATCGGACTAAGAGATAATCGAGATTCAAAAATTCGCCAAGACGTTATTGTGCAAAATATATTTTTTAAGGTAAATCCTTGCGCTTAGTGTATTCAAATATTATGAAAATTTTTTTCAAAACGTTACATCCTTTTATCGTACAGGTCACAGGGTGCGCGTGCCCAATTTTCAAACGGTTGGTCAATTCGCGAAACTGGCCCAAGGCAGCTTGCGTGGAAGTAAGCCGAAGACGGAGTACGGTCCGTTGGTTTGGTCTGGTTCAAACCCGAGCTCTACCGTTACGCGTACCAGCAATAAATAACACGTTGAGCAAGATCCACTGGTATACAGTTGATATGGACGATAAAGTACGTATACCATGATGTGTATAATACGAGACTGGACAGTTGGCTATCCAGTCATCCAGCTGGACAGTCGAACGAATATCCAGTCAGCTACTAGTGGGTAATTGAGAAAAGTTTTCTACTTTTTTTTACCCTCCTATATTTCTGTCCAGAGACCCTTCTCTCACTAGACACATCCAAAGCGACTGGATTTCGTTCGCCATGTATCTCTTTTCTCAATCCTATACTTTTCTTTATTACGATCAAACTAAGTTCTTCGATATTACAAGTTTAATATACATTTTTGATACAGGCAATGCAGGATTGAAATAACGAAAATAATTTATCACCGATTCCAAGAGTATGCACAAATTTTGCCATGCTTTACGTCTAGGCCTATTCGGACCAACGGCACTACCTGAAGTTAGTCGTATGATCGTCCACGGGAGAGCCAACTTCAGTCGGTACGTCTGAACTGAGTAATCTCGTATGTTTTTCTGTCCGATAGACAAAGATGGCCGCTCACGTTGAATCAACCAGCAGAAGAATGCCCGATGAAATTTTTATCTTTGACTTCAAAAACCTGCCGCTTTATGATAGATGCGCGAGTCTATCCATTCGGTCATTTACCTATCGCTGTTAAATCCATATGGATGGATAATATGAATTTTTTTTTAATAACATATTTTCCTCACACGCAGCTTTTCTCCCGCGATACCGTACATTCGTTTATGGACATACTGATATATCGTGTGTCTATTTATTTTTGACTTTTTTTTTTCGTATTTTTTATCGCAGGACATTTGGATTCTCGTCTGCTTGAAATTTCTTAACAGATACAAGAGAAAGAAGCTTACGCCACTGGTTGGACGATAAGGTCTCGAAGATGTTGTCGTAGATAGGAGTCAGGCGTATCTTTATTACCCCTCACGAGCTAGGTTGCTCAAGTTGATGTTAATTGCCATTTTATCTTACTCAGACATGCAATATTTCGAAAAACTAATCCGCACGAACTTTACGGTCGTTGGGCCTGAGCGACGAAGACGAGGGTCGGGTGCGGTGAGGCAGGCGGATAGAGGAAAATTTTGGTGTCTTAAACGTATGTGGGAACGATTACGTTTTTTTCGAAATCTCTTGATTACCTGGTTCCCAGCATTGCGTGGCGCAAGTCGATTGACGTATATGGATTAAGGAACAAAGAGGAGGACTAGGCATTTACGTAAGTTCAATTAGTGCCCAATTAAGCAAAAGCCGTAAGTACATATTTAGGTAGATCAAAAAGTTAAATTCTTATTAAAGTCGTTTACAAAATTTTTGTCACGTTCTTTTACATCTGCTTCACGAACTATGAACGATCTAGAGTATTTACAATATTTAAATATAAACAAAATTTTAGGGATCAAAGTCACAAATTTGTTGCACTACTAATCGATAATACGTATCAAAAATCAATATCTCTCAGCCAATGTCCACCGGACGAAAGTAATGAATACGATACAAAAATTTTTAAATTTGCCTGTATACCCATTTTCTACAATAAGATCGAATTGAATTTTCATCAAAAGACACCAACCTCAGGACCAATAAACGTCAGCCTCCAAATTTAAATCCCCAAAAAAAAACGCAACCCTCTGTATCCCCATTTCATCCCCATGTCACATTAAGAGATCGCAAAATCAATCACGACCCCCGATGCCAAGTCAGTCGAAGAGAAACAAAGAGCAGGAAAAAAAATTGTTTTTTATGAACGAAAAATATAACCTAAAAATTGTTACGTCGTAAAGACAAAATAGTTTGCACCCTACCTCATCCACAATGATAAAGGTACACTCCGCGTCCGAAGGATGTCTCCCACTGACAGAACCTAGAAAAGAGGTTAGCGCCGTGGGGATTCGAGGTAATCAGCAGTCAGAACATTCGTTTCTCCAGAGGACAGACGCAGGCGTCGCATAACTGCTTTGCCAGGAGTTACGAAGGAGACGCACAAAGGAGAACAGTGAGAGGTAACATGGCCGACGGGGAGTCTAACAATAAGTAAAGCCAATGGAAGTAAGAGAAGTATATGGAGGGGAGTATCATCTATACGTTAAACCTAACCTCTGTCTCTATACATACCTACCTAGATGATAGAATGGGCTTCGCTCCGTCTTTCTCATCGTCCTCGGAGTAGTAATAGTCGGAGGGGTCGGCTCCTCCGCAGCATATTCACGAGCCCGTATCGGATTTTATTCTCCGGGTAAATCCTCGAATCTCAACGGAGCCACGGGCCCGGGACTTTGTATAACAATACGAGTAGCTAAACCGGCAGGTCTAACGTCTTGCGAAGTCTCTGTGTACGACGACCCGGCATGGGGATGATGTCCGCATAGCTATATACATTTCCACTGAAGGTCATACCATTCTAGAATGACGGCGGACAGAGGGAGGTGAAATCGAGTCTCTCCCACCTCCCCCCTATCACCACCCCCCACTATACGCCTTGACTATACTCATTCGAATGTTCCTACTTGCACGAACTAAAATGGCGTCTGAGTCGCCGTACCCCGGGATTTTCGAAAGAGCGAGAAAAAAGATGGCCGGGCTACGTGAAAAAAGAGAAGCAAAGTACCACTCGATAATAAAATGATTTACCTCGCTCTTCCTCCGTGCCGATAAAATGCTGATATCGTTCGAATGACCCAAAGGACAATTTAAAAACTTGATTACATCAGTTTGTCTCTTTGCCGTCGAGGGAATGTACATTGATATCGAATTCAGAGTGAGAAACTGTGTATACGTACACGTGGGGGGGACGGAATCGCGTAATGGGAAGCATACGGAGTGTAATATCTCATAATAGGTATAGCATTAACGTACGACGATATTGTAATAAGCGTTTAGTTTAGTTTGCCGCGAGGGTTCCTGCCCACGTCCCTGGCAACCCTCCCGGCTTTTGTCGGAGGGTGCATAATTTATCGTTTCCCTATCCCCGTAGCCTGTAATGCAATACGTTACTCGCTTGGTATGCATGTGAATTCCAAAGGTTACTACAGCCCCGGTATAGAAAACAGGGCTAACCATGATTGGTGGTTTAACACCATGAATGAAATTATTGGCGATTCCCTTTGTTTCGTATATTGGCACCGTATAATGAAAGTCTACTATATCTATATGTTGAAAAAATATATACATATATAATCCAAGGGTACAGGTTTCAATAATATTATCAACGACACCCGTTAGAATAGAATTGGTTTTTATTGTGACTAGATTACAAACGGTGCCCTTCGGCGATCATACACCGAGTAGGAACGTGTACACATAGTGAGTGAAGATGGTTGGGTATGAAATGGGATTCTGGGTTCACCCACCGCGCAAAACCGGGATATGTGATTTGACGAACATTTGTACGACATCGTGGATTCATACGAAATAGCGGCCGTTACTTACACTTAACCTTACTACTATTCCAATCTATGGGATTGCTGTGCGCTCACGGTCCCCTTCCGATTGCCCATTAAATAAAAGGTTTTGATAATGCTATTGGGTGTACTGTGAAAGTTACTTATACAGTAGGTCTGTGTTCTGTATATATATATATATATAGTCTTGTACATCTGACATATACATAGAGCCAATGGAAAGGAAACGTGGGCGTACCGTAATTAGCAAAGATACCGTATATGCTTGTTAATTATTTATTAATATTAATTAATATTTATAAGGTATTTCTAGACCAATAGAACGATCTCTGCTCATCGTATAGGTACTGTACACGACACGACGCACAATCCATGCAAAAGTGCCTGCCTTCGTTTGACTTTCTCCTCCGTGAAATACTTACAGCCTACGATTTGGTATTTTGCTGAATATTTATTATTACCGTTAGAACGTAACAATTTGGTATACATTTACGTGCCGTATAATGTCTACTATACAGGTATCTACAAGGGTAGTTCTGAGTACGCGATCTAAGGAAGATCCATATCTTGCTCTGTTTACCAGCTCTTCCGTCACTTTGACGATGTCGTATCCGATAGGTAAGTAAATTGTCCGGTGAAAATCGTCGACGTGCTCCTTGCGTTTTCCTTGTTGTTCTACGTTGTCCCTTCTCATCTGGTTATTCCTTTCACGAGATTGCACGCACTTGGTACAGTGATCATCTGGTCAGAGTCTTCGCCAGGAGTCGCAGGTGACAGGGTCCGTTCACGTTGGCGGTACAGGATCACGTGATACGGCATTAATGACACAAGGTTTACTTCCTGCCCTTGACTCGACTTCCGGTTACAAAGTAGATACACGTACGCGACGCTGAATTCATAGTCATCACAGTCACAATAAGTATCATAATGAAAAATAGCGCAATCGCCGTCCTCTGTGGCGTTCATCGTCCCACACGGTAGTATCCACTATGGGGGATCATGAGGATGAGGTCTACCGGAAATGGTGATCTCAGTCAGATTCTCCAACGTGGGTTCTTTACTGTCCTCCATGTTCATCCCTGACCAATAGAGACTCCGAGCTAGATGCAATGGACGGTGTGGTCCAGCAATCCAAAAATGATGGCCAATAAGCCGCTGCGGTATTGGCAGCGTTTCCGATGTCCTGGGTGCGTCTGTGCTGCCAGTAACTGGCGAGTCCAGCGCCGGCGGACGTGGTGGTGGTACCGCCTAGTCCGATCCCAATACCGACGCCGACGCTGTCCATCGTATTGGCACCGTTAGCGAGGAGAGCTATACGACTGTCCTCGATCTTCTGGTCCGCCACTGTCCCCTCCTCTTCGTACATGAGATAATGCGGTGGCGATGCTGTCGACGACGGCGTCGAGGACAGGGTCGGGGATGCAGCGGACCTAGGCCTGGGTCACTCGTTCGACTGTAGATGACTCTCCTGCTGACTGGAAGTGGCAGCCGCGCCAAGGGAATTGCTGGAGGAGCCGACGACCTGATGATGGGGGCTTGAGGCAGCCCCCGCCTCGCCTCAAACCTGGGCCCTGGCCGTACCGTTCCCGTGCTCAGGTCCTGGGGAATGCGGATTCGTCCCGGTGGTCAAGGCGTACTGACAAGCGCTGAGACCGCCTCCGGATGACGCCCTGGAGCTCACTGGACTGATACTTCCGGCAGTGGTACCGGTGGTACCACCGGTGCTGTAGGAGCTTACGGAACTGAAGCCGCCGCTGTGCTGCTTCGCTTTGAGCCGCAGCGAGGCGATGCTGCTGGACATCACCGTGCAGGTTTCCGGCGCGGCGGCTGTTCTGTGATGTGGCGTGTATACGGGTGGCCCGTAAGGATGCGGGGCCGCCGGTGCCGCGTATGGACACGCTGCCCCGGAAGCCGCTACCGGCGAACCTGCCACCCCTAGACCGGAACTCATCCCAGGTAACATCGACGTCGCCGCCTGTCCCACGGAGACCGACATGCCGCCCACGTGACTACCGGCGACCGAGGTCGCGGCCGCGTTGAAGCAGTTCACCGGGCTGACCTGGGCATGATGATGATGATGGGAGGCAGTCGGTACCACTGTTCCCAGAGGGTTCATCGGCCACGGGAAGCTTTTGCTGCTTAGGGGTGATGGAACCTTGGCTGCCCAGTTGTTGTATGAGCTGTAGGAGCTGTACAGAGCATCGGCGTCGGGAAACGGCTGTCCTATGAAGCTGTTCAGACCTGCGGTGCCAAAGCCGGATTTGAAATCCGCTGCGGCTGCGGCTGCGTTCATGGCATTTCTTTCTCTCTTCCGCCATTTCGCTCTTCTGTTCTTGAACCAGACCTAGAAAACCAAACAAAAAGAACATCTACACTATTAAAGAACACAGATGCAACGAGACGCCGCTTTATAGATAGATCGACCAGGGCAGGGACGCGTGTTCTTATATACCGGAAATAAAATACCGGAAGTTACCCAAAGAGACTTTTTTTTGAGATTTCACGAATTTCTCCCCCAACGGGAATCATGACGACGCTCGAAGCAAACCAAGGACAATGAATGGCGAACCAAGGCTACGGCCTCGAGACAAATGGTAAGGAACCCCTGGGAGCTTCTCCATCCTGAAATATGACGGCGTTAATTCAAGGCGGCGCTCACGCTCGATACTATACGGAGGCCTCGTCAGCCTCTTCCAACGAACCCTGCCTACCCTTCGACCTCCTACCATCCCTTATACGAGCAACCCTCACCCCGACAATTATACGGCTGGTTGCGCTCAGATACACGTCGCTCTCGCGTAACTGTAAGGTAAGCAGCGGGAAAACGCTTCATCCACCAC